CGATCAGTTCCAGACCTGTGCTTGGCATCTGCTAAGTTGTCACCTGGTTTTCTTTCACTGCCCTTCCCAGCACCTCCCACCTTTCTAGGCACTCACTGCTTTGGATGGTAGGCAGGAGGTCTGCAGAGGCAGATCCATCTACCCATGACTCCTGGGCTTGGAAGCTGCTTGTGGGCAGTCTGTGCTGAGCCTGGACATTCTGCAATCTGGGGATGTTTCTAGTCTCGATAAGTCCCTGCAAGAAACTCTTGGATGCTCAAGAGCTGTGCTTTCACAACCAAAGTGAGAGTTGCAACCTCCATCCGGAGGAGTGGCCCTTTCACCAGGTGATATCCATCTCAGAGAGGGAGAAAGAGGAGAGGGTAGGCGGTGAGTAGGAAAAGAGATATCACTGCAGGTGGCTGTTGAGTAGTCCTGTGATATGGTGAGCAGAAGACGCCCAAGGAATTGTCCTGACATGAGCTGCCCTGAGTTGCCCTGAAGAGTTCACACCAGGCACTGTTGTCCTTTAAAGCAGGTTTGATACACTGAAGATTTCCCAAGTCAGGAGCTCTCCAGGCAGAGGGTTGTGTCTCACTGGTAAAACCCTTGCCAAGGAGATCCCTTGGTGACGTTAGCCTATGACATTTGTCAGCAGAGAAGGAGGAAGGAGCCCTCAGGCCCAGGGGCCATTTCAGGGATGGCTCCTTTGGGCAGAGCTCAGCATCAGAAAACTTTGGAGATGCATCTTTCGGGGATATCAGAAGAAGGAGCAAAACTGACTCCAGTGCTGTGTGAACTGCTCATGTTCCACGTGTTTTGGGTACCAGCCTATGGATGTCCACCTGAGCTCATAGGCCCGGCTTCAGCCAAGCTCACATTGGCTCCTGTGGCCCTTTTGGGTCCCAGAGGGTTTGGCTCCTGTTATGTACTTGAGTTTTCTCTGAGCTTCTCAGCTCCCTGGGTGGAGGCTCAGAAAGAGGATGGGATGCTGAGATGGCTCCAGAACTCCAGGCTGAAGCATCCAGTCCCTCGAGTCCTGGGAGTTTCGTGCGTCACTGCTGGTGAAATCCCCACCCAGGAGGGCTGGGAGAGGCAGGGATCATCCTAAACAAAAACAAGGTGCCAGCTGGGCTGCCAGCATTGCAAAAGGACATCTCACCTGCCTCGTCCTCCTCAGCGGCGCAGGCAGGGAGAACCTCACTGCGGGGTGGCTCAGGCTGCTGGGGCTGCTGACAAGCTCGGGGACCACAGATCCACACCAGCTCTCCTGCTGTGACACCACCACAGTCCCAGTCCAATGACATCACCCCTTCTAATCCCCATGTCAGAGCTCTTGGTGGCAACAGCACAGAGCAGGTTGGGCTGCAGTGTCCCTCTGGATGCTGGCCCGAAGTCCTAGGGCAGGAGCACGTGGATGTGGGGGGGATGGTGCACCACACTGGGGTGCAGCACCTTGGTCAAGATGGACAGACAGGCACAGGGAGAGGGGACAATAGTGAGGGGCTGCAGTAGGGACCACAGCTCCATCTGGGATGAGTTGCACATGCTCCTCTTCCTTGCCGTGGACATGGCAAGCAGAGCCCGGGGAGGCAGGGGAGGTGTCACTGCCGTGCCCCTCTGCCCAGGGAACTTGAATTCGGCGCCAGCCTCGCCGCCTCTCCTGCTGAGGGGGTCGGAGCGGGGCCGTGCTCGCCTGGCCGCGCTCACCGAGCCGAACAGGGCACAGTGCTGCCCGGGCAGGGGCTGATTCACACGGGGCACCGGGGGCCGGGTGCCGTGGGAAAGCGCGCCCGCCAGGGCTCCCGAGCGCCGGGATTGCTTCAGCGGGGGTGCAGCCAAGACCCATTTCACAGAGGGCAGAGCAGATCTCGGCTGGGATTTACCAGTGACTAAGCATGTGCTGGCACGGGCTGCCCCAGCGTGAGAAAGGCAGGGCTGCTCCTCCTCCGAGGTGTGCCTGCTGCTGCTGCCCCGGGAGCACCGCCCCGGGGGCACCGGGCACCCACCACGGCAGGGGCACCAGGGGCACTGGACACCCTGCTGTGCCACAGGGCCACTGGTGTCACTGGACCGGGCAGCGTTCTGAGTTCGGGGGGGGACTGCAGACCCCCGGCCTCCTCGTCCCAAGCTGGACTCAGCCCTTGCTTTGCCCATGGCCCAGCACCTACACTGGCCATATGGCCAGGCAGGATGGTGTGAGCAGAGCACTTGGCGTTCAGCCTGCTCAGCACATCGTCCCCAGGGCAGGGCTGGGGCATGGGGCATGCCATCGCCACCCTAAGCCAGGCACAGGGGCTGGGGGGACCCTGAGATGTTGCAGAGAAGCCGAACCCTTCTCTGTCAGGTCATGGCCCTTGCTCACAGCAATTGCATCCTCAGGCAGTGTTCTGAGGTGCCACCAGCTCCTGCTGACTCACCTCATGAAGATTTTTGGAGGCCACAACTAATCCTGCCATGGGAGATGTGTGGAAACCAAACCTTCCTGAGGAGGAACAGCCATCTCTTCCCCACAGAGAGGCTCCCCACCTCCCTACCCTGAAAACAAAAGATTCGCACAAAAAACTTGCTCCATGTCCCCAGGTCGTGACACGGAGACACAGAAGGCTGTGGGGAACTGTGTCCCTAGGCAGGAGCCAGGCATCAAGCCTGATGCCACCACTGGTCCCTGCAAGGCCAGGCAGGGAGATGAGAAGAGGAACTCTATGCCTATGGAGATGGCAGACTGCCCCACTCACTTCATCTCTTTTGGCTCATTTTGGCAAGACATTAAAAAAAATTAACTGCAATTTTTTTATTACAGCTAATTGGTATTGCTGCTAAGTGGCTTATCTGGCTCCTGAGCTCACCCCATGTTTTTGGGAAGCTGAGGACGGTGAAGGCCCAGAGGCTGGGAGATGGTGTGGGGCTGGAGCCTGGCAGCGAGGGCCTGGCAGCCCTGGCGGGGGGGGAATGCCAGGCTACCCCTGGGCTGCCAGGCGTCTCTGGCCCAGGAGGTGGGCTGCCCCTAGTTCACAACAGTAATGAATTTTAGAGAAGTAGAGAAATTTGTCTGAGATCACCGTGCCTGGTACGCTGGCACTGCTGCTCAAACGCCTGACAGGCTCCAAGCTGCCAGGGCTGGGCATCCTGGGGGATTTGGTGTGTGTGACAGAGGGCAGAGGAGCCCCTGCATGTCCTTACCAGGCAGGGAGGGCTGGGGAGGAGGGTGCTGTTTGCCCTTGGGCCCCTGCTGTACCATCCTGGCTGGCAGCTCCATGGCCAGGTGGTTTGGGAGGTCTCTGAGAGCTTCTCACTCCCCAGTGCTGCCACCATGCCCAGGATGTGCTATCCCACACCTCTCCAGGCTCAATGCCCCTCTCTGGCATGCAGACCCCTCCCCATTGTCACTGTCATGGCCAGTGAGGCCAGCACATGACCCCAGGAGCTGCCCACCACCTCTGCCTGCCTGCTGCAATCCCACAGGTCCCTGTGAGCCACACAAGGGTTTGGGTGCCTGTCAGAGGGTGACACCATGGCTCCAGGTCCAGCCCATGCAAGCTGGGATGTCCTCAAGCCTCAAAGAGACCACCTGTCCCACAGAACCAGCACTGACTCCACCACTGAAGGTGACAGGAACTGGAACATGACTCTGGTGGCAGCATCATTAGGGTCTGTCCCATGGCTGTAGGTGACAACTGTCCTAAAAGGAGTCCATCTCTCTCTTTCTCTGCTCATCCTTGGATCTCTCTGTGCTCCTCTTCCCTATTTCTGAGCCATCTTTCAGGATGGGTCTGGCCCAGCTGATGATTTACTGGGCTGGAGCAGCAGGATCCTGGGGACCCAAGCCAGGCATGCTTCATGGCCAAAAGGATGCGGAGCATGTGCTGGTTTTGTGGAGGCTGCCAGTGGGAATCACCTCCTGATGCAGGGCAGAGCTGGGATATGGTGGCGAGTTTGTTTCCAAACAAAACATCTTGCCCCCATCGTCCTGCAGGCAGCTGTGTGGGAGCAGGGGCATCACTGCCCCGCGCACTGAACCTGGTGCTGCTCCAGCTGCAAATCAGCAGAGCCGCCACCGGCCCGTGCCGGGGCCCGCTTGGGAGCTGGAAAAACCTTTCTGGTTTCAACAGGCTCTGGAGCAAAGCCCCAGGCAGGGAACTGATTTGTTCTGGTCAGCAAAGCTGCGCACCTCTCTCCTGGCTTGCCTTGAGTGCAGCTTACTGGGAATGCTCTGCCAGCAAAAAACAGCCCCTAAAAACAAACAGCTGATGAAAGGAGTTGTGGCACATCCCAGCATCCAGCTCCTGGCCCAGTAGGGATGGAAGAGGAGAGGGAAAGTGTCGGGGAGCTAGCTGCGATGCTGCCGGGGAGATTTAGCTGATCACTCTGGGTGAGTGTGTTCAGCTGCACCCTGTGCTCAGCCCAAGGCACTGTCTGTGGGTGCTCCTCAGCAGTGGGATTTGGAGAGCTCCTTGGAGTCCAGCACCCAGCACATCCAGGCACTCAGAGACCTCTCTGGGTACCTTTTGGCAAACTAAAGGTGGGGTAGAAAATGTGACTCAGTGCTCACAGTGCTGCAGCAGAGCCAGGCTGAGCCCAGCATGGAGCCAGCCAAGAGGCCAGAGTGTCTCAGGGTCCACAGCCATCCTCCCCATCTTCTGTTGGACAAGTGAGAACAAATCTTGAAGCCACAGCCCAGACTTATGAGTGTCTGCTTGATGCTTTAAGGCAGCCTCAATTGCTGGTGTTACCTGGCCAGGGAGTAAGAGTGGGCAGCAGTACTCTCTGCCTGGCACAGAGACGTGGTTGAGCACCACACAGGTGGAGTGGCTCTGGAGAGGAGGTTCCTGGGGCTTGTGCCTGGTGCCCTTTCTGTGCTCAGCGGGATAGGCCTTGCCCTGGTTTCCCCTGTAGAATGTGATGGCAGCTGCCCAACCTGTGCTGGGGATGCCCAGTGTGGATTTGTGCTCCAGGCAGGCAGGAGGTGCCTGGGGAGCACAGTTGCCATCTCACTGATCTCCACCTCTCTCTTCTCTCAGGCGTGCAACTGCGACAAGTATCTGAAGGTGCCCCGGGAGAGGATGAGGCAGCTGGTGGAGGGCAGCAGGCAGGCGTCGCAGGAGCCTAGTGCAGGTAAGCTGGGAGTGATGGTCTGACCCCAACCCCCTCCCTGTGCCCTTGCCTGGGACTCACTGCCCTGGGCAGAGCAGAACCAATCCCCTGGGGCTGGAGGTTTCTCAGAGGGCAATCAGGTCCCCTGCCACCAACCTGCCACTGAGTGCAGGCCCGCAGAGCTCTTCCAAGTCTGGTTCATGTCTCTACCCTTGCGACCCTGTCCTGCCCCTTGAGGCACGGGGTCGTGCATAGGATTGCTCAACCTGGGGGGGTTGGTGACATGCAACAGTGGTTCAAGTGACAGCCTGAGGCCATCGCTACCTGAGCGTGTAAAACTCAGCCTAGGTGGTGAAATGCCTCCTGTCTGGGGCTGCTCAGGTGCCTTCCTCACCTGCCCAGTGCCTCTTAAACTAGGTCAGGCTGCAGGGAGGTGAGTCAGTGCTGCCTGCCCAGCCAGGCTCCAGCGGGCTCTGGGGAGGGAAGGCTCCTCCATGCATGCCCTGAGCTGTGCTGACCCACACACACTGCTTCCCAGAGGGAGACACATTTTGGTGGCAAATTACACCCACCCCAGGCACACCAGAATGGGAACATGCCCCCGTTGCTGCTTCAACCCAGCCTGGGCTCTGCCACCAGCCGTTGTGTGCAACCCTTGCCATGCTTCAGTTTGCCCATCTGTTGACAGCAGAGAGCAGTGGGAAGCAGTGGCTGCCGGGCACTCCTGGCCAGCTGTGGCTTTGCTGGAAGCTACATGCGTGGCTCTGGGGGTGAGGGACGTGGTGGGGCAGCTTTTCTCATGGTGCCAGCAGCCTGGGAGTGCTGCGCCTCCCCAGAGGCTGGGACATCCTCCATGGTGGTTTCTCTGGTGAGGGCACTCACTGTGTGTGTACCCAGAGACCAGCTGGGCCAGTTCAGCCAGTTTTAGAGTATGGGAAATAGAAATGCTGTGGTTTGTGTTCAGCGTGTGAGTCGTTTCCCCTTCCCCATTCTGGATGGGGATGATGGAGCTGGGATAGTCTCACACAGCACTGTGGCTCCTCCACGCAGACTCTTCAGGGACCACCTTGCTCTAGCCTTTATACCCCCTCTGCAACACTCCATGTCCACATCAGGCCATGCAGCCTCTTGCTGGGTCCTCGTGTCCCTGGGGGAGCCTCATGAGGAAAGACCAGGTGGGACCCCTGTGCTGGCCATGTCCAACATAACCTTATCAGGGAGCATCCTCCACCCTGGAGCAGTCAGGGACAGGGACAGAAGGTGCCACAGCATCCCCAGAAGGTTGGTGGAGACATAAAATAGAAGCCATGATTCCTGGGCAGGTGGGCACAGCGAAGCAGTGGCACCCACCGAAAGTGAAAACCCCTGGGGGCTTGCCGACAGGGTCTGCTGTGCCCTGGGGCTCTTGCCACCCAGGGGGTTCCATTTCTATTTGGATTTTCCTCAGAGCTGCTGGGATGGTGAGCATCAGTGTGAGCTTGACTAGGTTGTCCCCAAATGTCCCACTCTGGGTCAACTTTTGTGAAAGAGAAGGCTGTGCTGACAATGTCCTGCTATCACGTGGTAGGGACAGTGGTGGCAGTGGGACAGCCTGGGCAGACACAGAAGACCATGAGGAAAATCTCAGTTGTTCCCTGATTTACTTTACATTTTCCTTCTGGAGGGGTTGGTGGCAGGGACCTGCTCTGCCCCCAAGTTGTGGCTCAACACATGGCGTGGGGAGTTCAGCACCCACAGCCCACATCAGAACTGGCCCCTCTCCCCTGACTCCAGCCTGGGCCATGTCATCTCCATCATGTCACTGAACATGGATTAACCCCCAGACCATGGCCAGGTACTGCTGCTTGAAAGGTAAGAAAATGCCTTTTCCCTGCTCCTGCTTCCAGGCAAGAAGGGATCCTCCTCTCATGGGGAGGAGCCTATGAGTGCCGGGGCGGATGGGTGATGGGGATGGATCCTGCAGGACCACCTCTCAACACAATCCTATGGCTAGCCCAGATGCTCCAGAGTCCTGGGGTCCATCTGCAGCCAACCTCAGGCCAGTGCTGCTCAGTTAGGCTCCTGGATTTTTATAACAGGGCTTCCAAATGAGGAAGGGCCAATTATTCATCCTGTAATAGCTCATTTTTACTTGGACCTAGGGCTTTCAAAGGTTTTAGGGAACATTTTCCCTGACACAGCCACAGTTTCCCTGCATGAGGGCTTTGATGGAAGGGCTAGAAATTAGTTTCAGGCCCTGATAGCTTTGCCATGTGATGCCTTTTTCCCAGTGGGATGCTCTGAGCACCCCGAGTGCCTGGAGCAGACTGGAGCTGGGACAGTGAGAGGAGCAGGGCTGTGGGTCACCACAGGGCACAGGAAAGACCTCACTGGAGGCATTGACAGCGTGTGGCTCCTGAATGACCCAGAGGGATGGGCTGTGTCACAGACTCTTGTCTGGCATGGGGAAGCTTCTTGCTTAGTCAGTGCAGTAAAACCAGCTGGCACGGTGCCCCAGTGCTTGAGGGGTGCTCTGCCAGATGAAGTCTGGTCCCTGGGAAAGGCGAGGATGTAGCACATTCCATCAGGTTGGGATTCACCAGAGGAGGCTACTTTAATTGTAAAATCCCCCCTTGCCATCTAAAACATGCTGCAAAAGATGAAAACAGTTGGTCCTGCTTCCCTTGGGTCTGTGCTGCTAGGCAGGCACAGCAGAGCCTCTGCTCCCTGCTGGAGAGTGGCCGGGGGTGCTCAGGGACACTCGCCCATGCTGGGTGAGCACCTCCCTGACCAGCTGCCAGAGCTGGTTCTGGAGACCAGTGAGATCTGCACTACCCAGCTTCTCCTCCAACACCACATCCTGCAGGTGCAGGACACGTCCCAGACAGCCCCATTGGGTGGCTGCAGGAGCAGCCAGAGTGTCCCTGCACTGGGTGCCAGGATGGTGTTGGGCAGCTCGAGCACTCACCTTGCCCCTGCCAGCCTGAGCAGTGACTTGGGATTTCTTTCCCATCTCACTCTCAGCTCCACTACCAGCCTGGGGAAAAGTGGGCAGAGACAGCACAGGGCAGGCAGGAGGAAGAGCTGCAGAAGACGGTGCGGGAAAGGCTGTGCATCAGCTCCCAGCCAGGGTGACACCAGGAGAGTCCCAGGTCCCTCCTCTACAGCCACCACACTGGGACAGCTGAGGGCTGGTGAGACCCTGTGCCCTTAGCCAGGTGCTCAGTGGGAAGAGCCCACTACACATCCACAGCCCTAAGGCTGGGTGCAATTTTTTTCCTTCCATGATTCCCTGATCTACAACATTTGGCTTTGCTGTGAGCATCACATTCGCCTTATTGCCATGTGGAAAAGGCAGGAGGTTCCTGTGCTTTCCCAGGAGCACTCTCATACCAATGTAGCCTCATTGCCTTATACCAGACCCAGTGTGTGGGAGAGGCCAAGGCACGCCCAATGTCTCAGGCTGCTCTGAACACTTCCACAGGGAAAAGGATAGATTCCTGGAGGGTTGCACTGCTGGATCCCAGGGGGTCCCCAGCCCTTTCACCCTCAGACCAGGCAACCCCACACAATTAAGCTGTCTTTTCTCCAGGGCACAGCGGGATGATGGGAGCATCCTCATGTCCCCAGGTGGGGCAGGGATGGGACTGGGAGCTGCAGTGGCAAGACCAGCCAGAAACGCCCCCCAGATGGGTTGTGCTCTGCCAGCTTCCCCTCTTCAGCAGAATTTCATTTGCTCATGTGGAAAATCACAGCTGAGCTGGAGACCCGGTGACACTGTCATGGCTGCGGATTTGCAGAGCTCTGCTGTGCCTGCTGACAGGGGCACTGTGCCCAGCATGCCCTGGGAAGGAGCTGGGAGCCATTTGGAGCAGGACCGTTGCTGCTGCCTGGCACTGGATGCAGGATCTGGCAGGGTTCTCTCCCACAGCAGCACTGGGAGATGAGAGCAATTGAAGGTGCCTCTTGCTTGAGCTCATCCTCCCTCCTCCACCCTGGGAACATCTTAAGATCATGGCCAGGCTGCTGCAGCCCAGGTTGCACAATCCCAGGTCCTTTGTCCTTTGTTTATCTGTCTTATCGAGGAGGAAAAGATAACCAGGCATCTTCAGTGCCCTGCAATCAGCACATTTCTCAGGCTCGTAACTCCTCTTATCAGGCTGATCTCTCACCACGGCTGAGGTTTCCCATGCACCTTTGTACTCCAAGAATGCTCCCAGGTCTGCTTCAGCTCTGTGCAAAGCCTGGACGCTGTGAGCTTTCTCCCAAACACCCCAGCCCAGGCTGAGGCCGAGCCCCCGCACGCGGTTGCGATGGCGCTGGGTGCGGCTGGCGCAGGGCTCAGTGCTGGCACAGGCCTGCCAGACCCATGGCCTCTCCGGAGGCAGCTGGAGCTGCCAGGTCCTCACCTGAGCCAGCCTGGACAGGCACATGGCTCCTCATCCCAAGGTCTTGGTTCAGGCTGGGTTGACACAGAGGGACCTGGGCAAGAAACAGGGCCTGGGGAGCAAGATTTTGGGCAGAAGTACTTGGCACCCCTGGGAAGTTGGGCTTACAAGCCAGCACCCTGACACTGAAACCCTGGGGGTGTCCAGGGCTCACACATGTGGGGACGGGTTGTTTCCAGCCAAATCAGGGCTGTGTGGGCTGGGAAAGGGAAATGGGCACTGGTTCAAAGAAGGTTTGCCCTGATCCTGCTCTGTCCCAGATTTCCAGGCCCTGCTGTTCCCCCCCATCCTGCCGTGATGGGTCCCAGTGCTGACCCAGCACTCCAGCATTGCAGCCAACAGAATAGGTTGTAGAGACTACAGGTCACCGTATCACCATCACAGAGGCCTTTCAGTGTGACCTCCACAGTGCTAAGGGACCCTCTGTGGGTGGGGGTGTGCATCCCCCCATCCCTGCCATGTCCCTTCCATTGGGCTCAGCCCCCCATCCATGGGCAGGACCTCACAGTGGGGCACATGGAGCTGTGACTCCTGCCCTGTCCCTACCTTGAGACAAGTCACCTTGCCCCTCACAGCCTGCCTGTGGCAATAGTTCAGGGTTCATGTGGGACCACCAG